GGGGGAGGCATGCTGGGCTAAGCAGCAGCAAAGGCCCTTGTGGGATCATAGCATCCAGCCCTCGGGGCTCAAGCAGCTGAGGCAGAGAGGGCTGGGGTGGGGCGGAAGGAGCTGAGAGATGGATGGCTCAACATAGGGGTATGTGAAACTTAGTGGGGCTCCCCCAGAAACCAGGGGAGGGTCTGCAGGGGAGGACGTGGGGAAGGGCTGGGGAGGCACCAGCACCAGTGGGAGTGTGGGGGGTGAGGAGCAGGGAGTCTCTGCTGAGTAGTGGGAGAGACGGCTGCTGGGAAGGGGATGAGGGACATGGGACAAGAGACAAGAAACCACTCCCCAGCGCAGTGACTGAGGGATGCAGTGACTCCCGAGCCACGGGGTGGATACAGGGGCACCTGCAGGGCTGGGTGGGGAGGAGCGGGGTATGTGGTGTGCACGTGGGCAGCGACGTGGAGCAGCGTGGGGACTGGGGAACTTCTGGAGCTGTGGGCAGCAGTGGTGGGAACAGGGAAGGCAGGCACCGCTCGGGAGCTGGCTGTGAGCCTGGAGGCCTGCTGGTGGCCTCGGGAGGGAGAGGAGGGAGGAGAAAGGACCAGGCCACGGCTGTGCTCTCAGAAGCCTCGAGTCCAGCCTGGGGCACTGCCCTGGCACCCAGGGTCTGGAGTGGAAGGGACTGCCCGTCGGTGCCCTGGCATTTGCCCAGAAGCCCCCCACCCATACCTGGCAGCAGCAGCTCTGGGCCCCCACCCACTTCAGCAGCCCAGGAGCCCTTGGGGGCCCGGGAGTCCAGCCCTGGCCCCAGATCTGGATGTGCAAACAGCATTCAGCAAATCGCAGGGCTGGGGGGCCTGACCCTGGCCCCGTAAAGTGGTCCCTCTGTGCCCAGCAGGAACCTGCCCTGGGCTCCTCAATGCCTGGGCAATGTGGTTCGCAGACTTGCACGGAGTTCCGTGGTGGGCGGCCAAGAACTGTCATCTTATCAAAAGCACAGCCTTGGAGCCCAGTACGCGGGGCTGAGGCTCAGCTCTGCCCTGCTGGCTGCGTGATCCCAGGTGAATCCTGAACCTCCCGAACCTCAGTTTTCCTGTCTGTGAAATGAACACGACCACAAGCTTCCTCACAGGAATCTGAGAACCCAGCGAGGAGGAGGGTGCTGTGCCAAGGGTGGCCCTGGCACACAGCGGAGCAGACCGCAGTTGTGGGGACTGCAGAAGCACTGGCACCTGCAGGCCACCCTCGGCCCTCTCCTCCCCTGTTCCCTGTGGCCTCCTCACAGCTCAGCTGCTGGCAGAAGCTGAAATCTCCGGGGCTCCAACTGCTTGGGGGAAGGTTCCGGGCCATCTCGCTGACAGAGATGCCAAGGCCCCGTGGTGCCAGGCCTGCTCACCTTGGCCCAGCCGCTGGGAGTTCTGCTGCTCCTGCTGCTGCTGGTGCCGGCGTGCCAGCTTCTTCATCTGCGGGGAGAACTCGGTCATGCCAGCCTGCTACCCTTGCCCCTGTGCTCTGCCCTCCCCTCCCACACCTGCTCCCTCCATCCCTGCTTCATTCCTGGCCCACCCAGGTCTGGACCCCTCTCTTCTGTCTGTCCTGTTCCACTCCCTACTCTGCCCAGGGTCACCGCCAGAGGACAGGAGTGACCTCTCACCTTTGCTCTTTGGTTCTGAAACCAGACCTGGACCACGCGCACGCTGAGGCCCGTCTCGGCCGCCAGTGTCTCTCGAACCTGGCACGGAGAGAGGAAGACAGGTCAGGCCTGCGGTGGGGGCGGCACCTGGGGGGTGGCTGGCTTGGAGGGACAGTGGGATTGTGAGGTGGAAGAATGTCCCCGCCCACAGCCAGAACGGAGGGGCAGTACCTGGAAGGCGCTGGGTGTGGGAGCGTTGGCCCTGCCCCAGCCACCCCTCACCTTCCGACAGGGCTTGGAGGAGACCTCGAAGGAGGCCTTGAAGGCTCTTCGCTGCTGCGTGGTGAGGATGGTCCGGGGTCGCTTGGGCCTCCGCGGGTCCTTCCCGTCGTCCCCACTGCCCTTGTTCTGGCTGCCCTGCCCCTTGGCCGGCTTCATGTCCCCATCCTCGTCCTCGCTCTTCACTGTGGAGGACACAACCTGCACTGTCAGGGAGGGGCAGTCCTAGGTCCCTGGCCTGCAGCCTCAGACAATCTGCTGCCTGGCGGGGTCCCATCACCTCTGCCAACACGGCGGTGGCCCCCAGTGCCCTGGGATGGGGTCTGCCTCCTTCCCCTGGCCTGCATCAGGCCTTGCCCTGTTCCTCGTCTGCCCCCCTGGCCTTGTGTGTCACTTCCTCAACATGCACTCCCGTCCTCACCCAGGGTCCGGGGCTCCAGGGCCCTACCCAGACTGCCCTGCCGACTACACAGCCGCTTACAGGCAGGTGCGCTGTGTGCGTGGTAAGCACAGGCGCAGGTGTGCACGCATGTGCACACAGCTGCACACTGGATGCACACACATCTGGGAAGGCATTGGTGCAGGTCCACATGGGATGTGGGTGCACCTGGGCAAACATGCAGGTCCAATGATGCCCACCGCTCCACAGAGCCCTGAGGCCCGAGAGCCCTGAAGACAACCCTGCGTCTGCGGCTCCTGGTCTGGGTTCCCCGACCCTCCTGGCTGGGCACCACTTGTCCTGCTGACTTCTGCCCCCAGCCCAGCATGCCACCCTTTGAGAAACCAGCTCTCATCGCACTGTCCAGGGCCCCCAAGCGCTGGGGCCCTCAGAGGAGCATGCAAGGAGCCTTCCTCCTCGAAGCCTCCAGGACTGAGAACTGACAAGTGAATACACATGTGCCAGACACGTCCACACAGGAGGATTTGTGGTCAAGTGTATGCACACACACTCATGCACACTACTCACTGGCACACATACACAGACTGGCACAGCGGCCACAAGGGCCCAAGAACATGCAGCTCAGACACCTTCACACACGGGCACAGCTCACAGGCATGCAGGCATCTGAACGGGCACACACACGTGTGTGCATCATGGCACCTCCGTCCAGGTAGTGCTCTGGACCTGAGATGCCCGCCGCAGATGGAGGGCCGTGCCTGACTCCCGCCCCTGCAGTCCCCTCAACTGAACTGGTTTTCTTCTCCAGGCCTGCCTGCTTCAGGGTTTGAGTCCCTGTGCAGGGGGCCAGCCTGCTCCCTCCAAGACCTCCTCCTGGCCTGGGACAAGCAGACCACAGCACCTGGAGCCTCTGCTCTTCCCAGGAGTCCCGGGTGCCCTGTCCAGGGACGACAGAGGCAGCTGGGTAGAGGCTCTGGCTCCCCTGTGGTCCAGGCAGGAGGCTCCCCTGCTGCATGGGAAGGCCCTGTGATGTGGGGGTCTGTCACCCCAGAGCCTGACGGACCAGGGAACCTCCTGCCCATGCCCTGCTGAGGTGTCCTGAGCCCTCCCCGGGAATGACAAGGCGTCAGTGCCTCCTGGCCTCACCTTCCTCAAGGCCCATTCCTGGCTGGCCTCACCCATCCTGCGAGGATGGCCCCATACTGGCTGAGTCCTGGGTTAGAAGGACTGCACAGTGGAGAGGTACCTTCACCCTGGCCCAAGGTCCCCCATAGCTGGGAAACAGGGAATAGCTCAGGGCTGTCTGGTCCCTGTGGCTGATGCTTTGGGGGCTGAGCAGGGGAGGAGACTCCAGCCCCACCCCCTCATGTCCCCAGCCACAGTCCCAGTGCAGGTAAATACCTGGTGGTGTGCTGTGGCAGGTCCATGCCAGGGGCAAGAGAGTAAGGGGCCATAGAACAAGGGGTGTGTGTGTGTGTGCATACAAGTCACAGTACATGTAAGTACACAAGCACATGCAGACACATGTACAGGTGCACAGTGCATGAGTGTGCTGGGTCACGTGTGTGAATGTTTACATGTACATGCACAGGTGTGTGCACCTGGGTGTAGGTTCTCACAAGCTTGGGCATGTGAGCACTATCTACACCTGCATGTACCGTACATGTACACAGACTCCCAGGCAGGGGGCCCCGTGTATGTGTATATGCATGTGAAAATGCATGCATGTACACGTGTAGGGGTATGAGTGCCCAGGAAGTATCCAGAGGCGTATTCTGTGTGTTTGGGGGATATCCACACGTGGCCCAGTGTGTGCATATGGACGTGGGGGACACTGTCCCACAGCCGGGGCTCACCAGAGTCGGACTCGTCGGGGCTCACGGAGCTGAGCAGGTCCTTCTCCTTCTCATAGTCGCCCTTGCACAGCAGCTGGCCCTCCTTGAGCACGAACTCGTCGCCCTTGCGTAGCTGCCGCTCACACACGCAGCAGCAGAAGCAGCCCAGGTGGTAAACGCACTCCAGCGCACGCATCACGAACTCGGTGGGGGCGATCTTCTCCATGCAGCCGCTGCACTTGGCTGCGAAGAGCCTGCAGGTGCACATAGCGGGCGCTGGCTGGGCTCAGGTTTCCTCGGGGCGGGGGGTGGGGGGGGACGCTGGGTGTCCTGTCCTCCCCAGGGTGCATCAGCTCAGGGCCCTTCCTGCCCCAAGACATGCTGGCCACTAGAGGGCACTGTGCAGGGCCAGTCTTAATCTTCCCGGATGGCCGTTTGAGCCCCAGTCCTAAGGTCCCTCCACTCTCACTCTCTGCCTCCTCACTGCTTGTCCCTCACCTCCTACATTCAAGCAATACCCAGCCCTGGCTAACCTTCCTCCCTACCTGGGCCCTTTCTCTCCTGCCAGAGCAGCCACCCCACTGCCCTCCCTGGGCTCCTGGGCCTTCCAACCCTTCCATCCTCCACCAGAGGACTCTTTAAAACATACATCTGATCATGCTGCTTCCCTGCTCCAGACTCCTCCGTGGCTCCCTAGTGCCCCAAGCAGAACATCCAATCTCCTGGGCCTGGTACTCAAGGCCCCTCACGATCCTGCCTCTTTCCTCCCAGCTCCTGCTCCCCTAGGTCACGACCCCGCAGAACCACCTGCAGTTTCCAAAGCACCATCCTGGCCTTCCCACGTTTCTCTCTCTGTCCCTTGGCTTGGCTCACACCTTCTTTTATCCTTCCGCTTCCGCTCAGGCCCTCCGCTGTGAGCTGATGCACTGAGTGCAGACAGCAAGCTAGCTGCTTCTAAGCCCTTGGCATGCAGAGATGCATTTAATCTGTGCAGCAACCGTCTACGACGAGAGGGAGTATCTACCCCGTTTTAGAGGAGCACGTCGAGGTGCAGAGCCGCAGAGCTCCCTGCTCGGGGCCACGGGGCAGTCAGTGCTGGAGCCGACTCCCAGCCTGGCCTGAGCCAGGGCCCTGTGTGACAACGTGGCGCCATCTCCCATCTCCAGCAACCACCCCGGTGGGGTCTCCATGCCTCTGGCCGGCGCGTGCAGGACAGTCTGGGTGGTGCGCCCGTCTCTGCCCGCGCCTGCTGACCGCTCACCTCGCACCCCCATGCCCGTCACGTGCCTGCTCTGTGGGAACTCAGCCTCAACAACACTTTGATGGAAAAATTTATGAAGAATCAAATTATTGCTGCTGGGAGGGAATTAAAACCATTTTTCATTCCCGCGTCCCCGGGCCACGTCTGCGGGCGCCACCTTGGGAGCGCTGTGCACATCCCATCCCTCTTTATGGCCCGCCATCACAGCGCAGATTACAGCTGCAATTCTCCACTAATCGGTTCTGGAACAGAAACGGCCGTAAATGGGAGGCACTCGCCCTCCTCCCTTCCCAGGGCTGCCGTCAGCACCGCCCACAGCGAGCTGGGGTGGTGTGGGGGTTGCAGTGGACAGGGACAATTCCAGCTCTGCCTGCTGCCCAAGCCTGGCCAGGGCACTCAGCTTGGAGTACCCCCAGCGAGCCCTGCCACCCACCTCTATTGACCCAGCAGGCTCCTATTCATCCTACAATGCCCAACTCCAATGTCACCTCCTCTGGGAAGTCTTCTCTGATGCCCATCTGGAGGGGTGGCCTCTTCTATGCTCCCCTGAGCTTGCTTCTGGCCTCAGTTCCCTGTGCTGTAAAATGGGGATGTCCACAGGCCCTTCCTCAAAAGCTGTCATCAGGATCCCCAATACTGAGCAGACAGCTTGGTATAGAGTGACAACACACAGCCCTCCTTGGTGCCCAGCTCTCCTGGGTTCCGTGAGGCAGGACCAAGCTCCACCTGATCCTCCAGGAGGCCTCAGCTGTGTCTCACGCAGAGCAGATGAACGAAGGCCAAGGGCGGGCTGGGGCTCAGCCCACGCTCTGCTCTAGCCAGCAGGACCCCACACCCCGAACTGTACCCAGCTGTGCAAGGAGAGCACAGGCTGGGTTTCGGCCCTGGTCTGTCCTGTGGGCGGGATACCCTTGAGCAGGGTGCAACCTACCCAACCGTCCTGGACAGCCTTAGGCAGAGGCCCCTGAGATCTAGCTGGCCATCTAGCCTGGGGCTGAGGAAGGAGTCTGGGTTTGCAGAACCTGTGCTGAGACGCGGAGGATATCCCTGTCACTGCCCATAGTCCCCTCCCCAACCTCTGCCTGCCCGGGGGGCCCACCACACTTGCAGCCTGGCTTCTTGACTTATGGGCAGACAGGCACTGCCACATTTCTGCCAGCCTGGAAGGGCCAGAGTCTGAGGCCAGGGACAGCACCCCCGGGCGGCTCCCAGAGAAGACATCTTCCTAGGCTGGGAGGGGACAGCAGGGCGAGTGACCCGCATTTGCAGTCGAGCCACCATGCTGGCTGGTGCAGAACAGCCGCGCTAATGCCTTGGCAGCAGGGGGTCGATTGCTACTTTCTCCAAACTCATCAACACAATCTATTATTAATACTTCTCTGAAAGCTCGATGCCGCCATTGCAGAGGCAG